ACGAGTGTGTTCCTTTACGCCCGTACGCCGTTCCATCCAAACAACGTTCGATCATCACGAGATACGCGAGTGCACGAGAGGAGAATGATATCGGGAGGAGAGAAAGGCGAAGAAACGCGTGGCTGTCGGTAACGCCGCGGCATGGACGCATGGATGTCTAATTTCCACGCGGGACACGGAGAACGGAAGATTCTCAGCGACCTGGTCTCGTGCAACTTTCCCAGGATCATTAACACCAGCTCCCGAGATGGCCTTTTAATTATCCCCGGAGTGACGGGATGATCGAGTCGCGAGCGATTCGACACAATGCAGAAGAGTCCGCGCCGGCATCGATCTAACCTGTCGCTCCCACAAGGGACACGCGAGGGCCCCGGTTAATGAATACTTAGAAGCACGGCCGCGGTAATTACGCTTAAACGGGCGACGCGCCACATGGCGAGCGTATTTCGCGCTGATTGCCGCATATGTCTGTCAAAGGGACTCGATCCGAACGGTGAAAAGCTCCGCGGAACGCACAATGCCGAACATTATGCGATGCAGACGGGGCAACGTGCCTTAAAAATTAACTCTCGCGCTACCAGCACAGTTCTGCCCCGGCTCTTCTTCCTCTTTTCCTTTCCTCCATTACCTTCTCTCCCATCGGCTCCTCGTCTTCTTCTGCTCCTCCCTCTCTGTCTTTCCCGCCAACCTCGTCACGTCCTTTCGCTCCCTCTCTCTTTTTCTTTCCTCCCTTTCATCTCGTATCTCGTCCCTCCGACGAGCTGTTACGCTGCACGTGTGTGCAACGCGGCGAGGGATCGTAAAAAAATGCAACTAATTAACGACCAAAAAGTCGGCCCAGCGGGATGGTTTTTGTGCAGCCCCGAGGAGGAAGGAAGAGAGAGAGAGAGAGAGAGAGAGAGAGAGAAAGAGAGAAGGAGAGGCGGCTCGAGAGCCTCCCAGAGTCGAAGGGAACTCGACGATGCCGTCGAGCATCGAGCCTTCTCTGGATCTCGTCTCCTTCCGGACATCGCCGGCCAATTTTTCCACGTCCACCTCGCGATCTGCCTCCGTAAGACGACACTCGCGATCAGATCTCGAAGCTCGCGACGGCAGCCGGTGGAACGAATGGAATCCGCGAGATCGGCGCGGAAATGGCGGGAACGCGCGGTAATTAAAATTTATCGCCGCGCGGAGGCGATTTTTCCGCGTTAATTCAAATCGGGAGACGGGAACGGCACGTCGAACCGGGCGAAAGGGTCAAGGGATTCATAACTCGCGGATTGTGCCCGGGGACTTTTCCTTTTTCCACCGCTCTCTTCCCGTCGCAAAATTATTACCCACGCAATCCGCCTTTTCTATTCTTCGAGATTACCCGCGGCAGCGCGTCGTCGTTACCCGGCTCGTTTCACCGGCTGAATAATACAATGCATAAATATTTATAGGCGTCCGTTCCCGGGCACCAGCTTTCGCCATTTATATATTAATTACTTCGCGCGACCAGCCAACGACCCTGATATACGACCGAATGAATTATCCGCGATAATTCGTGACTCGGGGGCGTTTCTCCTCGAGGAAGCGCGAAAGTCTTCGCGTACACGGCGAGTTTCGCGACAATGTGTTCACCGTGGCGGCGTTTCCAGCCGTTTTGCATAAACGTATTCATCGACTAGCGTTCCTATCGAACGGTGTCGTTATTAATTACCGGATCAACCGAGCCGTCTCGTCCAAGCGTCGAAACGCGTCCTGGAGACGCGAGTCGGCGAACCATCAGTCGGGGTTGAAGGATCGGAAAAATAATAAATAAAAAATAATAATAATCCGAAGAAGAAAGAAACGAAAAAGAGGAAAAAAAAAAGAAGGGAGAGAAATAACGACGACGAAACACACCCCTGTGCGATCCGTAATGAAGAGTGCACCGGCCGATCTGTCGCATACATATTTATAGGAACCTACTCGCCCGTACAGATTTTACAGTTTACATATTAATTACATCGTTAAGGATTCCACGGCGCCGCGCGACGCACGGTAGATTACGGTTTTGATATACGATTTGGTAAAATTAGCATGCGGCCGCGACGCTGACGCGCGCACCGTCGATACCACGCGCCCGAAAAGCCTATTTATAAATATGGCGGAACGGCTGGAAATCGGGATAAGTATGGAAAAATCACGATAGTCGATGTCCAAAAATTCTCTACCGTCCAAAGACGGTAATTTTAAATTATACTAAATTGTACTACAAAATGGAGTCGAAACAAATCGATCCATATACTACCTGTAATTAAATCACCGACTGCCGAGACACGTTCGAACAAAGCACGATAATTAGACGTACACCGGTTCACGGATATGAGGAGGCATCGCAAGAACTCTCGGGAGCGATCCACGACGAACGTATATCGGGCGAGGATCAATAATCGTTCCTGAAAGCGATCACGCGGAGACCAGGTCGGTCACGCTTCGATCCTCTAACGAGGCAGGCAATGAATCGCGCGGAAATGAAAACGTAACGTCGGCGGAGGCGATCGCGGATCACGACAGATCTCGGAACGCGCGATCCGCCTCGGCTGCAATCTAATTAATCTAATTAAGCCGCTGGAGCGCCTCGTTACCGCGGCGCGTACGGCGCGCGCCGCGGCCAACCCAGCCGAAGAAACGTCCGCGAGAGACCATCGGGACCGTCCTACCACCGCCACTGTCATTCCTTCGAGATACTTGGAACTTTGTTATTCGCTGCTAATGAAACCATTGAACGCGATGTGCTCGGACTCGGGGATGCCGGCAGCGCGAGTATCGACAATCGAAAGGGTTCCGGGGATCACGAGGTCGGAAATGAAGCGTTTATAAAATTCTTCGCTGCTCGTTAACCCATTAGCTGCCACCAGCTCCATTTCGGGATTTTGGAATTTTACGCACACCGAATATATATTTGACAGGCCTGACAGTTTAGCTTTATTCTATATATATAAAGAGTGCACCGGCCGATCTGTCGCATACATATTTATAGGAACCTACTCGCCCGTACAGATTTTACAGTTTACATATTAATTACATCGTTAAGGATTCCACGGCGCCGCGCGACGCACGGTAGATTACGGTTTTGATATACGATTTGGTAAAATTAGCATGCGGCCGCGACGCTGACGCGCGCACCGTCGATACCACGCGCCCGAAAAGCCTATTTATAAATATGGCGGAACGGCTGGAAATCGGGATAAGTATGGAAAAATCACGATAGTCGATGTCCAAAAATTCTCTACCGTCCAAAGACGGTAATTTTAAATTATACTAAATTGTACTACAAAATGGAGTCGAAACAAATCGATCCATATACTACCTGTAATTAAATCACCGACTGCCGAGACACGTTCGAACAAAGCACGATAATTAGACGTACACCGGTTCACGGATATGAGGAGGCATCGCAAGAACTCTCGGGAGCGATCCACGACGAACGTATATCGGGCGAGGATCAATAATCGTTCCTGAAAGCGATCACGCGGAGACCAGGTCGGTCACGCTTCGATCCTCTAACGAGGCAGGCAATGAATCGCGCGGAAATGAAAACGTAACGTCGGCGGAGGCGATCGCGGATCACGACAGATCTCGGAACGCGCGATCCGCCTCGGCTGCAATCTAATTAATCTAATTAAGCCGCTGGAGCGCCTCGTTACCGCGGCGCGTACGGCGCGCGCCGCGGCCAACCCAGCCGAAGAAACGTCCGCGAGAGACCATCGGGACCGTTCTACCACCGCCACTGTCATTCCTTCGAGATACTTGGAACTTTGTTATTCGCTGCTAATGAAACCATTGAACGCGATGTGCTCGGACTCGGGGATGCCGGCAGCGCGAGTATCGACAATCGAAAGGGTTCCGGGGATCACGAGGTCGGAAATGAAGCGTTTATAAAATTCTTCGCTGCTCGTTAACCCATTAGCTGCCACCAGCTCCATTTCGGGATTTTGGAATTTTACGCACACCGAATATATATTTGACAGGCCTGACAGTTTAGCTTTATTCTATATATATAGCGGTCAATATCGTATGTAGCAAAAAGTGTGTACTCTGTGCTTCGTAACTATACAACGAGCGAACAAATTTGAAATTCGTGTGTAAGTTGAATGGAAAAGAATTGTCATATTTGGAGCATTATATTTTTGGTTTGGTTTTTATATTATAATGAAATTCCGTATTAGTTTTCTTTCATGCAACCTGCTATAATCCCCATTTGGGACTTTTTCAAAAGTATCAAATATTTGCAAAACGAAACATAATTTGAATATAATTACACAATCTTTCGTGCGTATACATGTAACTTATCTAACCAAAAATTTTGAGAAAGAAATTTCGCAGTTAATTAACACTTTCACTGTCATGCACTTTTCATATGGTACTATCAGGAAGCCAAATATATTATTTCCATTATTCTTACGACACAATAGCAAAAGAGAATGGTGCAAATTATTAATCTCGTCTAATCAAAGTTCCCTATTCGTTTAAAATTGGTTAGAATGAAAGAAATATAAATTTAAGAGATTAGTATCGCTGGACACTGGTGACCACCATGGAAGTCAACGCGTTAAGATGAGTTCGACTAGGGGGATGGATCATCGTCTCTTGGCGGATAACGGATAATTCTTCGATATATTATATCGGGTCACTGGATGTACCGATCGAACACGATCTCGAAAATTATAGGTGAAAAGTTCGCGATACCTGTGATCCTCTTCACCGCGCGATGAAGTGGCATTTGTCGAACAAGCGGCCTGGAAACCGGCGTGGCCGGGACTGACGCGGGAGTTACAAGTGTAACGAACCGCTTCTTTAATTACGATCATTAAAGTGCGTGAGCGGCGATCGCGCGGAGGGATTTCCGCGCGCCGAAAGGATCGGCTCGATCGTGTCGAGCTTACCGACGATCCTCCGGTTGCTTCGAACGCGGCGAAGAACCGGGGCGGAGCCGAAAAAAGTGGAAATAGAAAAGGCAAGAAGGGGAAGGAATTCGCTTGTCCACTTACCCGTGACGTCTGAAACAAAAGAAAGGGAGAAGCTTTAGTCGAATTTTCACTTTCCACGATGATTAATATATAAAAATTACAATATTCGCTAATGCCGATCGTTTGCTATTTTTCTCAACGAAATTTTCCATCACGCATAATCAACGTCGCGTATAAATATTTCGTGTTCGCGGGTCGATCTCGATCCCGGAGAATTTCCAGCGCGCTTCTCTCTTTCTCGATCGCCGAGGCATCGGGCGAGAAGCCAGCCGTCGAATGGCTTTTACGCGCGATGAAGAGGACGATGACGAAGAGGAGGAATGGAGGGGCTACGAAGGGGAGACCGGCAGAATGCACGGCTAATTCCGGGCTAATTGCCTCTCGGTGCTAAAGAGCGTTTCAGGGCGAAAAACTCACTTTCCGTGGCCCCGTGCAAAAGGGAATTAAGAGCGCGAATGGCATTCTTCGCGGACGGCGCACCGTGTCGCGTCGTACGGCCGCGTGTGTATGAAAGTCGCAATTACCCAGCGTCGACGTTCCCCTGCCTCGTGGGCTTGTAAAAATGCGAAAATCCGTTTCTTCCCGGATCACCTTTTGTCGAGTTTAATTGAAACGTACGACGAAAGCCGAGCCGTCGATTCGCCTGTTTTTCCGGCGGACGAGAAGGCAATGGGACGAGAACGAACGAGGCAGGAAGGGGGTTGGAATCGCGAGTCGAGGCGGATTCTAGACACCGCTCGCGTGGAAGGCGACTCGAATCCCTGCCGGTCGCGGAGGTTATCGAGCTGCCGACGATTAGCCAACACGCGAGATCGATCCGGAGATCATTGCCGATCGCCACCGCGATACCGGTCAATTACAAAATGTGCGCGACCGTGCTAGATCGCGGAGCAGAACGGAGCAGTATGAAAGGCGACGAGTAACGAGCGTGCTCGCCGTTTCACGGACGACTGGCGTCGCGTTGCACGGCTTCTTTTCTATTATTACGATCGCCGCGTCTACCACGCGAGATCGTCAATGATCTCATAAATTACGCCGATTGGAAGAAATATAAAACGAGAACGAGTAGACTCCGACTGCTGACACGTGATTGACGAAGGGAAAAAGAGCGTCCGATGAAGTCATCCGAACACGAGAGATCAAGGAAACAAAGATCCGCTAGTTCTCTGTACAATGAAAATTTCCGCGAATTCTTCGAATTTTCCACACTCATCCCCCCAAATAATCGCTTAAACGCGTATCGAAAACGTGGCCATAATTCCGCATAACCCTACCGTGACCAACACTCTCGAATCATCTTGAACCCCTTCCTTTCGATTCGAGCAAGTCAACCCTCCACCATCCCGAACGCAGAATCGGCGGCCGATTTCACGGACGAGCAGCGTCGATAGGCGACATCTAGCTTCGCATAACCTAGAAGCCCGAGCGGTCACTCATAATTCCTCGAGATAATCTCTGCGTGGGCAGGACACGCGGCCTCCCCGGCCCATGCCAGCTATCTACGCTCCTCTATCTCTATTTATTATTCCTAGGCGCGACTCGGTGTCTCCGCGCGAGCCGCGGAGCGATAGCGCGGCCGACGAACGGGTCCGGGAACACGCGAGAGAGCGGCCGTGTGCGTTCTGCCGCCGTCGCGTTCTCCTGCGCGCCATTTACATATGTTGCGGCCGCGGAGGCCGGGGCACCGAGTGAAAGAGCGGCGGATTTTTCGCGGCCGCCCATCCGACCGCCGCGCGTCCCGGAACCCAGCGCCGGAGTCGTGTTCGAGCTGACTAACCCATTAGCGCCTCGGCTGCCGATCGACACGGCGAATCGATCGATAAAGGCGCCGGCAACCGCTTCCTGCCCGATGCTGCGAAGCTACTTCGGGGTAGCCACGATCGTCCGGGATAATCGCGTACCCTGGTGTCTCCGTCTCGGTTTGCCGGTGGAGGAATTTTCTCGATTTTTCACCACCCCTCCAGCGAGGGTGCTCTCGATCGGAGTTTCAATACGACGGCGAATCGTTTCCAGGTGTCCGTCATCCGACTCGATCACCGAAATATCGGTTAATTTAATTCGATTCGCGTGTACGGGAGGAAAACGAAAGCGAAGGTCCGCCCGAGGTAATTTAACACAAAGATGGATCGCTCTCAGCACCAATTACGCCGCACCACGAGCTGGTTAATTAAAGACGGTAAGAGAAGAAGAACGCGAGATGCCGCGTTATCGCGGGAGTAAATCAGCGCGATAATTCGCGTTGTCTAGGGGCCGCTCGGCGGAAATGTAAAATGTAGAAACACACGGGCTAGGATGTCTTAAATATAGACAAAAGTTATGGAGACAGGTCGGGGGTGAAAATTGGCAGCGCGTCTATAAAACGGCGCGCGGATCCGAATAGTCCGCGCGATGAATGACACGATGACACGGAACGAGCGCGATAAATTCGACGATAATCGTTCCGACGTTGCCAAAAGAGAGGCCCCGTCTGAGCGCCGAGGCATTCGTCGACGGATTCATGGGTCTTCTCTGACCGAGCGTTTCGAAATCGTGGTCGAAATCGTTGAAGGAGGTCGATCTCCGGAATTTGCCTTCCCCCGGTTGCTTTTCCTCGAGAATCCAATCGCTTCTGGCAACCAGAGTCGCCACGGGTTTATTTTCTACAATTCTACGGAGATTTTTCAAGTTTCCGCGTGGGTGGAAAGCTCCTCGAGATCCTCGAGAACGATTTTATAAATCTCGTTGGAGGAAAACGCTCGGAAATTTGTGTATTTATCGACAACGATCTCGTCTTTGGACGAGAGTAGTTGCACGCACTGGGATATTCGACGAGCCATCGCGAGACATTTCTCGCGACTGACACGCGGCCGATAAGGCCCAATTAAAAGTTCGAATCTCGCGGTTGGATCTCGCGCGAGGAATTCGTGAGGCGCGCGCAGCGACTGTGTTCTCGGAGCGGGCGAACGAAAAGGGTAAGAACGTTGGAGGACGATGGAGCAAGCAGGCCGAATTTTCGAGATGGTTTGTGCCGATCCGGGCTTAATTTGTAGCACGTTCTTGCGGCCGGGGGTGACGAGCAGGCGCTGTGCCGATCAGCGGCGTTGGCCGGTTAGTTAGCGCGAGTCCAGGCGGCTGCTGATGGTGCCGCTTCTTGCCCCGGCTCATTTTTGCCGCTAAAACATCGTCCCTAATTAATCTCCGCGGCCCCTCCCGACCGTGAACGCCGCCGCTAATACGGACGAACGGTGACAATGACCGGGAGCCAGCGGAGAGCTACGGCAGCCTGGAATCCGCCGAATCCAACACGCCGTGCCGGTCGATCCGACGAAAAACCTGGCCGACCGTTTAACACCGTCCAAAGAATCGGGGGTCGCGCCTAATGGGAATTTGTGAGACCGGCGAAACGTACGAGCCGCACTTAACGTCTCACTTGGAGACGTAGTCTATAAAAGCCAGGTCGCTGGGACACTGGCGACACTTTGCCACCGGTCCTCGTCTTCGACGGTGTAGGTACCGATTAATCGGTCCAATTAACGCGATTCTCCGGGCGACCCGGCGGGCTTTCAGCGGGATTTACGCGAGCATGGACAGTTCGACGGACCCTCAAACCTTGGAGGGGAACCTTTCGCCGTGACACGGAAGAATTCGAACGGTCTGCCGGTGGCCGGAATAAAACGGGTCGGTATCGCGGCACGAATGATCGGTTCCCATGGATGGAAGGAGGCTAAGCAGGGACGCGAGTGCGAGCGAGGCTAGGCCGGCACGAAGCCGGAGATATATCCACGGGACGCGGTCGGCGGAGAGGAAAAGCAGGCGGTTGGAGCGGCGGCCGATCGTCGGTCGGATCGTTTCTGAGGGCCGAAAGACACCGTGAAACGCGAGCACGTCGATCCGCGCGCGCTTAAAGGGGGTCGCCGCGATCGCAAAAAGACAACCGCGAAGCTCGGGCTCCAGTTCCTTTTTAAGTCTCGCTAAGCTAGCGCCGCTCGTTTCTGGTATCCCGTGCCTCCAATTCCCGGGAGTCAATCAACCGAGTCAGGCCGCGACCGGCTGGCTGCGACTCCTATATACGCCACGGGAACCAGCCGGTCAGACACGAAGGGACGGGAGAAAGGGAATCGCCACTTATTCTCTTTACATTCCCCTTAACAAATTTCCAACGGCAAAAACTCGTTATGCCCGTTCGGGGCCCGACGCCTCCCCGTCCGCGCGGACTCCACCGTGCCCCTCTCCCTGCCATCTTCCCGCAGAGAAACCGCCGCGGGAACCTTGCCTCTCTTCCGCCACGAAATTTCGTCCTGCTTTTCCAACGTCCTCCGCTTTTCTTTCCCTTTTCCCTTCTCCCTCTTTGGCCCCGCCGTTTCTAATTTCCTCGGGGTTAAATCGTTCGTTTATCGCGAGAGAGGCGAATCTTCTCTCGCTTCTTCGAGAAGGTCAAGGACCTGCGTCGCGGCGAACGACGAGGATCCTGCGTCCATGTGGGTGGTACGCGTGATAGTCGGGAGGAAAAGGAGAGATTCTAATACGCGTAATTAATGCGATCTCGCGAACGTGTTCGTCGGACCATGACGGGTGACAAGGACTGCAGAAGCGGGGTGCACGAGGTAACGCTGCCTCGCGAAGGATCCTCCTCGTATTTTTCCATATCCCGGCTAACGCGAGTCGACGTGGCGAAGACACGCTGCTTTCACCGCGTAACTGGCCATCGCGGAAGAAGCGCGGAGGATCGTGGAATACGCGAGAAGACGCGAATACGAGAGGTTTCCGCGAAAAACGTCTACCGCGTAGACGACGAAGTCTGGCGAGCAAGAAGCGCGGAACGCGACGAAAAGGAAGCGGAGGAACCGCTAGCCGGAACGAGCCTAAACTCGAGCAGCGGAACTAGGTCGACTTTTTCGAGCGGTTCGACCGCGAGCCGAGCCGAGAGGCAACGAACCAGACCGGAGGAGGAGGGCCGGTGCGCGTCGATGAGGGCTAATTGGTGTTCTATGAATTTGACGGCGATTACCGCGAAACCACGGCCACCGGGCACCGTAGACTCGCTTCTTGCG